TTGTTGTGACCCAAGTGCAGGACCCGGCACTGAGCCTTGTTGAACCTCATACAGTTGGCCTCGGCCCATCGGTCCAGCCTGTCCAGGTCCCTCTGTAGAGCCTTCCTACCCTCCAGCAGATTGACACTTCCACCCAACTTGGTGTCATCTGCAAACTTACTGAGGGTGCACTCGATCCCCTCATCCAGATCATCGATAAAGATATTAGAAGATATTTTCTAGCCCATCATATTATGACCATGCAAACCAGCCTCAGCCACAGCTGGCACCCCTTAATGCCAAGCAGCATGCAAATGTAAGCAAGCTGGTGCCAAGGCCAGACCTGAGAAAGCCCTGGAGAAAGCAAGGATTATCTCCACTGCACAAACTAGGACTGATACACACACAGAGACCCTGCCGGCCACGACTCGCAGGGCAGGTGGACTGTGGACAGCCCTGCCTCAGGCGCCCACTTCACCATCTTCCAACTTCTTTCACTTGCTGCTTGCAAGGGATGTGCTGAGCGGTGGGCTTCGTACACCAAGACAACAGGACAGCAATGGTGGTTTTCCCCAACGCACAAGGGATTTCAGGAGCCGCTTCCTCAAGATCTGATCCAACCCACAACAGTAACCCCAAAAAGAGGCGCAGAACTGACAGCTATCCCCAAATAATTTGCCAAGTGTGAGCCTGTCATCCATGATGGAAGCTGGATAGGAACCCTTCGCCGAACGCCAGCCCTTCTCCTTTAGAAAGCTTTAGGAATTTAAGTGACATACACATTTACTCCATTTATTTTCTTATTGGTGTAGCCTCAATTTATTCTGTGACACAAACCTTATGAAAAGCGGACTGAAAGATTGCTGCGTCTCAGTATTTCACACCACTACCTTTGCCTTCTGCAGAAATGCTTCTTCGTATCTTCCAATTAAACAGTGAGAAATAAAAACCAAAAGCATTACACTTCTCCACGTTAACAGTTCACTAGTTGATCCTTTGTCCTTTTCTTCCTACAGAAGCCAGAAGGTTAATGGCAAAATAAGCTGTTTTCTTTGACAGTAAAAAGACTTCTCCCTGTGAAAGGAATGCTCCTACCAGAGCACTCACCTGCTAAGGCAACCTGATCTACAGCAAAGTAGCTCACAGCAAAAGCCTCCTAGATTTATTTTTTTTATACATATATATATATTTATATCTTTAATTGTGTGTATATATTTATATTTTCATATACTTATTATATATATTCATATTTTTTATATTTTTAGAAAATAAATATAAAAATTAAATATATAA